ACACTTTTAATTCTCGTTAACTAAGGAAATTGGAGGTTTAACTGAATAGTAAAAACATATCAAGTAGTGAAAAGTTAGCAATGTTCTTAAATATCTTAGCTCATCATGAGAAGAATAGATCAATTAAGGTTGACTATGTTAGATCGGGTTGGAGCATAAGTCAAGCTTCCAATGAATACTTGAGAGCTGTTCTCAGACTAGCTCCATTGTTACTTGTTAATCCCAAACCAGTGCTTGAAGATGAGATTGAAGATCAATGAAGATGGTTTAAGGTATGTGAAATTTCTTTTGAGCATATATTAATTTATGTAAAACTAAAAAATATATAATCATACGAAAAGAAATTAATAGTTTGAGATAATCTATAATTGATTTTATAGGGATGTCTAGGTGCACTTGATTGTACTTTCATTCAAATTAGAGTTCCATCCGAGTACAAACCAAGATAAAGAATAAGAAAAGGAGAAATAGCAACTAATGTACTAGGAGTTTGTGATAGAAATCTTAATTTTACTTATGTATTACCTGGTTGGGAAGGATCAGCTGCCGATGGTCGTGTATTACGAGATGCTATAGTGCGAACGAATGGTTTGAAAATCCCTGAGGGTATGCCATACATATGCTTATACACTCAAGTTATATCACAAAAAGAATGATACATAAAAGTAACTAAATTTTATGTTTATATTATAGGAAATTATTATTTGTGCGATAGAGGATATACAAATGGAAACGGTTTTCTTTCACCTTACAGAGTGTATAGATATTGGTTAAGGGATTGGCAAGGTGACAATCCGCCACCTCGATGTCGAGAAGAGATTTTCAATATGAAGCATGCTAGGGCTCGTAATGTTATCGAAAGAGCATTTGGTCTCTTGAAAGGGCATTGGGGAATTCTTAGAAGCTCTTCGTGGTACTCAATTAAGGTTCATAACAGGATCATTAGTGCTTGTTGTTTGTTGCACAACTTTATTCGTAGAGAGATGGAAGTGGATCCCTTAGATATTGATATGGAAGAACAAATGGAGTATCAACATGACAACATTAATGTTGTTGAATCATCTCAGGAGTGGACCACATGGAGGGATGAGTTGGCTCAATCAATGTGGAATGCAAGTCTAAACAATTGATTGTTTCAAAACGTTCCATGCTTGTATTATATTTTGTGGTGTTTGGGTATTTTTCTCTTTAGTTTTTTGTATGATTGTAAGGTGTATCAACTTTCAGTTTTTTGTGATTATAAGAAATAGTTACTTACTTTGATTTTTGTGAAGATTACTTATATTTAGATAGCGTTTCTTTTTTGAAAGTTCTATACTTCCATACATATGCTTTTTGTGATGCTAAGTAATATTGGAGATACTTATACTTCTTGTGGAGATAACTAATACTTATGATGATTTATTTTACAAGATTATACAGATATAATGAATAGACAGGCAGAAAATTCAAAGCTATTGTCAATAAGATCAAGAAAATCAACACCTTCTTCCCGAAGGATCTCGACTCCAGCAGAAGAAAGTGCTCTTTTAGATGGTTTAAAAAAATTGTGTGCTGATGGTTGGCGAGCTGATAATGGAACCTTTAGGTCAGGATACTTGATGGAATTAGAGCACTATTTGCATGAACGTCATCCTAGTAGTCAATTGAAAGGTGAACCACATGTTAATAATAAAGTAAAAGCGTGGAAGAGATGTTATTCAAGCATAAGTTTATTAAAGAGTCGAAGTGGTCTGGGATTTCAATATAGTGATAGAACCATAATTGTTGACGATCCAAAACAGTGGGATGACTTTATAAAGGTAATTTATACTTTGCTTAAGTTATTAGAATATTGTTACTTCATATAGGAATTTTCCTGAGTTCCCATCATAGTTTATAACTGACACATTTGTCATTACTTTTGTTTCTTTCCTTATTTTTTATAGATGGATCCAAAAGCAAAAAGCATGAAAACTAAGAAATGGCCAATGTATGAGGATTGGGAGGAAATTTTTGGCAAGGATAGAGCAACAGGAAAGTTCGCAGAAGGGCCGCTAGATGTCGCTGAGGATATTCTAAGGAGTCAAGCTTCAGGACTTTCTAATGACATGAGCTTAGGATGGCCTATTGTTGTTGATGATGAAGAAGAAGATAATGCTGGTGATGTACCTAATATAGCTACTGGAGAAGGTGAAAATGAAAATGCTTATGATGGACCTAGTTTTACTGGAGCATCTGAAAAGGAAGATGCTAGAGCATCTGAACAAGAATGTGCTGGAGCATCTGAAAAATGAACATGCAGGATTCCAACAAAATCATAAACGAAGTGAGCATGCTAATAGGTCCTCTCTAATTC